AATGTAATTTAAAAAATTTCTTCATAAAAAAAATAGTTGAAAATATCCCCATCGGTATTTTTCATTCGCCTTGACAGCAAACTATCAGGAATTCAAAGATTCATTCGCCTGAAGTCACAAAATAAAACAAAAAGAATATGTTCAATAAAATCCTCCCCCATAATTTATCTTCACGTATGCAATGCCCATAAAACATATGAATGAGCTAACATACTTTTTTTTATTCGCAAGCATGCTCTCGTCTTGAACGTAGCAAAAGCCCAAAGTTGCGTGAATTTTCTACGAGTGGCCGTTGCGCACGAACGGAGCTGCACATCGTAGCACACAAAAAAAAATTATACGGGGGAAGAAAAAAATTTTTTATGTGCGGTCTAGAACTGTGGCACGTTTTATCCATCTTCCCGTTCATCTCCTCTTTTCTTCACTCCTTTTTCCCCGGTTTATGCTTATCTGATGTTTTCTTTTTCACTGGCATCTGCCTGGTTTTATTTCTTGGCACACTTGCGGCTCTGTCAATTTTATGTCTCCTCGGGCTCAAAAGAGAGTTATCAGGAGATTTCCAGGGGAATTCACAATAAAATGTTTTATTCGAGGCATTTATGCAGATTGGATGAACAATGCGGTGGCTCGAGTGGTGTATTTACCGAAATTCATTCAATCTCATCAACAGGAATATTTTCTGGAATTTTATTTGTCTTTTATTCAATTATTTCCGGGAAATTGTGTCTAAATTCGATGTAAAATCTTGTCAATTTCATTTTCGCGTGGTTTTAAATCTATTTTAATTATTTATATTTTTTAAAATCTCCATTAATTTTTAGGTGAATTAATTTATCATACATTTTAGTTTTTTGAGAATTTCTAAAAAAAAAATAGGAACTAGCACCCTGAATCCAATTAATTCCTGAGAAAATTTACGATCATTCAAGCAGCTTCATTAAAAAATGTGGAAAACATCCCTATTAACCCGGAGATTCCATCAGACTTGAAAAAAACAAACGCATTATCAGGTCAAGTAACAGAACCCGTCGTCCACGCTTCATCAACGCTTAATCCTCAAACTTTGTCTTACTCCATCGAGGGCTTACACTCGGATAATTTTTCTCCTCATCGTCCCTCTCCGATAAATTTTATCGGCTTTTCCTCCAGAATTCACTGGACGTCGGTTTAATTGGAACATCTATTAATCTCCTCCCTCCGGTTGAGAAAAAAAAACCATAAAAAACCGGAAGATCGAGGTAAAACTGAGGGCCGGTGTTAATAACTGTTTACCTCACGCACGGACTTGTACCTCATTTCATTAATTTAATAGGGTCATCAATGGGGTAATAAGTACCTCATTATCTGAAGGAGCTGTGAGTTTTACGAGGGTGTACAACTACGGTTGGCGTGTTCACGGGGACAATTTCATTCTCGTAAATTCATTAATTCGAGTGAATAAATTGTTCAAAATGTAATGATCCTTGGGTGTTTTTAACTGCCTAATAAAATTGTGATGAAGTTGTTGTATCGTCAGAATGTGATCAAGGGGAAAGGGCATGAGCACAGTGAAAATTCCATGGAATTCCGGATTTTTGAGCAGCCCGAGTGCGAAAATTCATCAATTTATTTGAAATTTCCGCAATAAAACTCTTTGACAGCCTCAAATACTGCGCTCTGATTGGCGGAAATCCGAGTGAGAAAAATAATCAATGATATAATTATCAAATTTCAACGAAACCACAATATTCCAACAATTTCCACGGAGTTACCCTGAAATTTAGCTCAAAAAATTGTCAAAACCGTTCAAAATTTCCTCCAATTTCCTCGAAAATTCATCCTAGCACTTCAACCCATGCAGCCAACATTGTAATTCAAACTTGAAGATGGCCCGAATGTTGCGCGCACGGAGGAACGCCTGATTAAGTCACGAACCCACCGACAACGTTATACATCCACTACAGCCGATATTTATGGCCCCCTTGGAGGCTCCGCACAGCGACCACGATCCCTGATGTACGGCTATTCCAAACGCGTGCTGACCGTAAATGTTTTGACGATGGATAAAATGCCCTTATACCCATTCCCTCCTGGGTATTATCGAGAAGGCACAAGTGAAAATTAGGAGGAAAAAATAAGGGAGTGGTTTATACAGTGGGGTACACGCTGGGGAAAATTAGAAGTTAGTGAACATCTCTGTTCTAGCTGGACGGATAGACGGATAGAAGTGAGTGTTGACGAGTGGAGGATGCCTCGTGCCACTCCCCTCATCGTACCCCTGGGAATCTTTCTGGCTATGCTTGTCCAAATTAGTCTATATCGGGCGCCAAAGGGCGCGCTAGAGAGGCCGGATCAGTTTGTTTTTAATGTGTCCACGGTGTTAAATGAGTTGGAGATGAGTGAGGACCGGCTGTCTTTGGTTACACGTATTTGGTTACGATATGTAAACGAAATGTTCAGGGACAGGAAATAGTCAGTTCAAAGGGGAGACAATGAAAATAACCAGAATGAGTTATCACTGCGGATCGAGGCGCGGTTTTTAGAAGTCGAGAATGCGGGCTTCGTTGGGTAATTGATTCCCACGAGAAACGAATTCTAGGGAGGTGTTGCGTCATTGTCCCCTCCCTGCGATGATTTTTTATTAATTTTATTGAGTACGCGAAACGTTGCAATTGGAAAATTTCTCATTTCAAGGAATTTTTTGACCTGAATTTTCCTGATTTTTGTGCATTCTCATGGAATGATTCAACTGAAATGTGACAGCTTAAATTGATTTCTCTATAAAGTTCATTGGAATTTCAGTGAAACTATAATGCAATAAAAATGAGCAATATATAAGTTCAGCGGAAAGTTCTATCCAATTTTAATTAATTTCAATAGTTTCTTCATTCAAAAAAATATAAATGCCCGATGTGCACATGCGTAAGGTAAAACGCAGAGATCAGAAGAGTTTTATGAAGATTACCAGTGCTTCCGATGATCGTTAAACTATCAGAGAGTTTTCTTCCAATTTCTCCGGGCACTTTGGAAGAGGCTTCAATGGCTAGCAACGGCTCTCCTCTCTACTTGAACGACTTAGAATGGCTCCATTGTCGCCGCAATTAATAATGAAATTTTTTATCCCTCTGACATGATCATGTGAGGCACAAGAGGACCGAGGGAAAATCAATTCTAAAGCCCTGTAGCCACCCGTAAAAATCGATTTTCACCGCACGTATTTTTTTTTGGGAGGGGGCATCCCAGTTCCTCGTGGAAACGGATAACCTACCGTTCGTTAAACCGATTTCCGGACATACCTCGGCCTCGTTTCACGTGCAGATTGCCTGCCCCACGCTTAACTCAACAGTGATATTCCGATTTCGCTTGGCGAACCCTCGTCTATCTCGTCCTAGGGTTTTTTGCTGCTCCAAGCGCCTGGATGACGAAGGACTCTGATAATGTGAGAGTTGTCGACGAAACGTATCACGTGAATTTAATCTATTTCAAGTAGCGAGAGGAGTTGAGATATTAAAAAAAAACAAATGTATTTTAAATGACTGAGAGACAAATAAAATGAAAATAATTTTTTTTAAGAATAAAAATTACGTGGGAATTTTTTTATTTGAATTTTTATGAACTTTTTCAATTTTCAGTAAATAATTGAAGAAAAACTGACAATTTTCATTGATTTCCCAATGAAAATGTTCTGAAATTGCAATTCTAGAAAAAAAATTCACATCGAATTCGATTTAAGGGGAAAAAATCATAAAATTTAATCTATTTCAAGTACCGCGGAGGAATTGAGATATAAAAGAAGCAAATGTACTTTAAATTACGCCGTGAGAAAAATAAAAGTGGAAAATACTAAAAAATAAAAATAAAACTCTCGTGAGAATATCAATTTACAGCCCATGAATACATAAACATATTCTGAAAAAGGGGTAATGTAGAACTTTACGTCTGAAAAAAACCATAATTCAACGCTCTGTTAATCATGGAAATTGGAATCTGTCGTAAAAAATACGTTCCAGACATGGTTAATGTCCTCTGGCTTCCAGAGTGAGCCTGAGCTTCATTGTAATTGAAAGCTCCCCGAATCTCCATTAAGTCGTCCAAGTAGAGAGGAGAGCAGTTGCAGGGACGAAATGGCTATAACGAAGAGAAAAGGCATGCAGACTGAAGGGCCTTTTTCAGTGCCTGGATAAATTGGTAGAAAACTCTCTGATAGTTTAACGATTCTCCTGGTCATCGGAACTCTTTAGGGCCGTTGCTGTGTCATCGGAAGCACCGGTAATCTTCATAAAGTTCTTATGATCTCTGCGTTTTACCCGGATGCTCGTGCACATCGGGCATTTGTATTTTTTTCAATGAAGAAATTGTTGAAAGGAATTCAGTAGCGAAGAGGTAAACCGGGTTAAGTCGATTTTGACTACTGACCAGTTTTCATTGAATACCTCGGAATCTAAGGGAGATAGCAAAATTTCTGTTATAACCTTTTTTGCAGAGCCAATTAAGAGCTGCAACAAATGTAATTACGAAAATTTCGCCATCTCCCTTAGATTCGCAAATATTCCTCAAAAACTCAACTAGAGATAAGTCGACTTGAACTGTTTTACCACTTCGCTACTGAATTGTTTGGACTTCACTGTTGAAAATTCTCTTGGAAATTTTTATCGCATTGCAGGTGAATAGCCAGTTTGTTAAGTGAAAACTACTGGCCCAACAGGAGGCAATTAGCGATATCGTAATCTCAGTCGCTCAAGCAATTGTCCTACTAATCTTCGGGAAAAGGGGAAGAATGAGAATGAGGAAGAGGAGAATAATTGCTCAAGACATTGTGACACTTGGGATTTTTTTTTCAAATTCCAACATCCGGCTGGAAATGACTGTGATAACAGAGACGTTAATCTCGAGGAGGTGATGGTTAAAAATAATTGGTTACGTTGAAAATCCCATAAAGTCTTGTCCCATTTTCAGAGACGTGATAAGCGAACGGATATATTGGGGGAGGTTTTTATGAGGCTTCGCAGTGTGAAGTTGATTCTGAAGATGCAATATTCGTGGGTAGTTCTTGGTCTGGTCATTTATCTGGTGGTGGCTACCGGCGGCTGTTACCTCCATGGAAAACAGGTATTGACCCACCACTTTGGCTTTTCGCAAAATAAATTTCTGCGTAGTTTAGGGGGATTGAGGGAGACGATTTTAATCGCTTTTGCTGGATCTCATGCAGGACGACGTAGATCAGATACACGTGATTCATTTGCAGGGATCAGAAGAAGACAATTTGGTATGTGAAATCATAAAAAAAGTATTTTTTTTGTTTCAAATTCATTCGAAAATTTTCTTCGTTTTATACGCGGGGAGAAAAGTAAAGAAAAAAGTGATAAAATGAAATGAAATAAAACAAAAAAAATAAAATGACAAAATAAAAAAAAAATTTAAATTTAAAAATAAAATAAAATAAAATTCAAGTCTTGTTTAGTAATTTCTCTCAAATTTTAGTCCTCGTGTGTAATTCCTCTGATTTATCTGCAATATTTCGATATTTCTAGGCGGACAGCGAACAAGAAATCATCGAAATTCACATTCCATCAGACGTAGACAGAAGAAAACGTGAGGTTGATAGTGCTAAGATGGAAAAGAGCTGCAAGACAGATGCAGACTGCCTCGAGGGCTGGCGTTGCGACGAACTATTGATCTGTCGTGAGTAATCGAACCGCTCTTGGTACTGAGTTCATCATGGAGAATCGACTTTACGGGATTATAAACCTATTTTGTACCCAGACCCCGCGAGAACTTCAGAAAATGGACTGCTTGAGACATCGGAGGACACTAATGAGACTGAAAATGTCCTCGAAGAGGCCCCACACTCCACTCACTCCGTAATTATCCTCAATATTACATATGGCTCTTAAGAAGGGATTAGTCAACCACCGAATTTTCTATTCATCGATTTATAACTGAAATTGTGTCGCTAGACGTGTAATAAATATGATGAAAATCCCATTTGGTTTCCAATCAATTGCATTTTTAGTGACGAAATCCCTCGAAATCTCAGTGAAACTATAATTTTTCCCCGAATTCACTCACCGATTCCCGAATCGACTTATAGAATTTAAGTGATTGTATCGTCATTTTTGCACTTGAGATTCAGATAAAAATTACGGAATGCTCTAGAAAAATTCCGTGACAGAATATTTCTCTCCGTGTGCAAAAAAAATTCTACAGTGACGAACGGCCTCAAATTAAATCAGAAAATCCCCTAATTGATATAATCCCCTCCCAATTTCCTATAATTCCTGGCAGTCATGAGAATTAGGTGACGACGCCGGAAGACTGATAGTTGAGCACGATCGGATCTCATTAACGTGAGAGTCTCCGAAAAAAACTTGCGAAAAGAATCGAAAGAACACAAAAGAGCTCCTCGTAAATTGTTCCGTAACAACTGTTCCCATCGAACCCCCAGCATCCCCAAGACCGCAAGTGTACAGATTCGATGGAAGAAATTCACAACATAGATTTACACTTAAAATCAATTAGCCGCTAATTGATCGAACCCGATGGAGCTGGGGAAATTGAAAGTTTCCGGGGTTCTTCTCCGTCACTCTGTTTTTATCATTATTAGCCGCGGTGATATTGATCCACTCGGAGATGAGTGACTTGCAGAACTGTGATTAAATATTGAGAGAGAGAGGGAAGAGTTGGTAAGAGAATACGTTCACCTTGAACAGCTTCCCCCTGAGTGTTTAAAATACTTCAGGTTGAAAAAAAAATTGCTTATTTGCTCGACGCCATTCCCTATTCTCTCGGCTGTTAACAGGAAACGTCAGTTATGGAAACTGTTATTGTTGTATATTACGAGAAATTTATGACTGCCCAACGGGGAAATAGGAGTCTCAACATCTCCAAACATCCACTGGTAACTTGCTAATGAAATTTTTTATTGTCGGAGATCTAAAATTAAAGGAAGAAGTAATTTATCCATTTGGTATTTGGTAATTATGAAGTATTTTAGACAAAAAAAAATGTTCTCTTTATCTTTATGAACGTCAATTTGATGTGACATCAAAACTTTCATAAAATTCCTCATTCATTTTGGGAATTCAACGGAATTGATTTTCTCATATCGAGCAATTTTGGAATTCAAGTGCAACTATTCCTTAATTTTCAAAAAATTTCTTGCAGTGCACTTGACACATCCCCGGTAATTTCCTCCCACCGCAACCGAAATCCATCACCCCCAGTATTATCGAATGAGCGCAAACATTTTACCCGAAAAAAAAAACTGGACGGAGGGTACTTTAGAGACTACATTTAGCAGGACGGCAAAATACTTTTCCCGTATAGGTTTCGTTTGAAGGCAATACTAAAAGCTGCCCTTGTCGGTCCTCATGAGAATAAACGTGAAAAAATGTGAAGGAAAAACGTGAAAGAGAAATATCAAGAGGAAGAAAGTTTTAGGGTACCTTTGTGCATGAAAAAATTAACTCGAAAATTTTTTTTACCATTCTCATTCGCCTTTTTGTTCCCCCTCCGAGCCCCTCCAGTCGCCCCCCTCCGCCCCCCTGAGCGTTTATGATCCACCGTAAATGGCAGTTTTTACAGGCTGTCATTTTTTCACTGCTAAAACGACAATGAGGGGGGGGGGGAATTTTTTTAA